GTGACTTGCCTGCCAAGTTTGAACCAAATCGGCTCAGCCAAAAAAAATCACAAAAGAGTTAAAAAAGTCATTCCTGGTGAACAGTTATTAACTTTGGGGTCAATTTTCTCGGTAATGAAAAAAGATATCAAAAATTCATATAGTAGCTTTGTGCCCACACTCAAGTTGAGTAGAATGAGCTATGTCTGAGGTGTTTTATCCTGAATTTGTAGGAGGGATACATTTAATGCGGAGCTATCCAAAAAAACAGTGTTTTGACTGTTGCTATGGCAACGGCGGACCGACATTTTGCAGATTTTTCCTAATAACTAGGGTGAAGGTGTGACCTACCAGCCAAATTTGAGCGAAATCGGCCAAGCCAAAAAAAAATCAAAGAAATAATACGTGAAAAGACTGGAAATCACACACACAAAAGTGATTTTAAGGGCAATCCTAGCGGAGCGGATCGCCAAAAATGCAAAAAAATCAACATACACTGAGCTATTATAAATTGTTCAATATATTGATGGAATAAATGCGAGTCTGACTTGTACCAGATGGGAAAGAAACATAGTGTTTATCTGTGTTGCAGTCGTTATATAATGTTTGTTTACTCATTTACTATACAACTTTTAAAACGTTGTAACATTTTTGACTATTTAAATGACAATTTAGTGTTTCGTAAGCGTGTATGAAAAACGAAGATTCAAAACGAAGATTCAAAACGAGGCTAGTATGATTAGTTGGTCTGAGGCAGGATGTACTTTCGGATATTTCGAAAAGATATCACACCAGTTATTTATCCCGCCTTATAATCCTTGACGATTTATATTTGATGTATTTTATTAGCAGTGCTGTTTTATGAGTCATGGATAGTTTAAACAGCCACTTGGATGGATTTACAGCAAGTCTCAGAAATATTGGGGCAGCCAATTTGCAAACTCGCTAGCGAATTGGCTAACTGCTTTGGTTTTGACTAAACGGTTGGCTTTTGAATCTCGCTGGCGCCGTCTTGCGACACGCCCACTTAAGACGAATCTATGTACTATAACAGTAGGCAGGCCCGTAGCCAGCTCTTTTGAATAGGGGTTCGAAAACAACAATTATATATTTGATGTGAAATGTGTGAATTTTATAATATTCAAAAAGTGTTTTTGAGCTCAGTTACAGACATTTTTATATTATCGATTCTAAATTCAATTGGTTTACTTTGCGTTACACTGGTAAGATATTTCACATAACATCTTTGGACTATTTTACCATTTTAGAGAAGGGGTCCTGAGCCATTCCCCACCTACAGACAAAAATATCCACACCATTGATCCACTACGGCAAAATGTTGTACACAAAAAATACAAGACTGTACTTATCTTAGCATTATTGTCTAAGTATTTTAAAGGTAGGAGGCTACTTACGAGTTTTTTCGCTCTTCGCAGATGTTAGCGCACATAAAAGTGACACGATTTCATGTCGAAATCTGTCTACAATTATTCATTTTAGTATTAGTC